TCTCGGTGCAGTCTCCCCATGCCCCATAGTTATAACAAGACTTCCTTAATTTAGTACTCAATCCCCTTTTGCAATCGAGGCCAACCTTCCACTTCCCTTCCTAATTACTAGCTGACTTTTTCTGATTCATATATAAGGTCATCCAGATCTCTTGTACCACAGCATTTTGTACTCTCTCTCTAAATAAAATTCTGCTCTTCTGTTCCTACAACCAGTATGCAACTTCACATTTTCCCACACCATCCTTCATCTGGTAAATCTTTGCCACTCATTTAATCTATCTATAACTCTTCGCAGACTCATGGAGCCCTCCTCTCAACTTGCTATTGAACCTACCTTTGTGTCACCAGCAAATCTGGTTACAATCCACATATCTTTTCATTGATACAAATTTTAACTAGTTAAGGATCCAGACCAAGCCACCGTGGCACTCAACTAGTTAGTTTTCCAACTTGAAAACAACACATTTATCCTGACTTTCTGAGATAACAAGGTGAAGAGCTGGATGAACACAGCAGGCCAAGCAGCATCAGAGGAGCAGGAAGGCTGACATTTCGGGCCTAGACCCTTCTTCAGCTCTATACCTTGTTATCTCAGATTCTCCAGCATCTGCAGTTCCTGCTATCCTGACTTTCTGTTTTCTGTCAAGTTAGCCAATCCACCATCCATGCCAACATATCTCTCCCACGACCATGAACTTTTATTTTGTTCAGTAAACTTGCACATGACCCCTAAATGAATGCCATTTGGAAATACCAATGCACAACATCTCCTGGCTCCACTTCAACAGACTGCTTTGTTCTGGGTGTACTCATACATCGTGAGTGTTGTCAGAGACGTACTCAAGCAGAGAAGTGAGGAATATTCACCATATTCCTGACTTGTGCCTTATAGGTGGTGGACAGCCTTTTCGAGGTTGGTGGTCAGCCAGTGAGTCACTTGCCACAGATACCCCTGCCTTGTAGCCACATATCTACTTGGCTAGTTCAGTCAAGTTTTCGGAAAACAGGTGTTGATCGTGAGAGATTCAGTGATGGTAATGCCACTGATTGTCCAGGGGAGTTGGTTAGATTCCCCGTTGTTAGAGCTGGTCATTGTCTAGCACTTGTTTGGCATGACTGTTAGTTTCTGACTATCAGCTCAACTTGCTTGTCCATTGTATTATTGCACAGAGGCATGGAATAATTCAGTATCAGAGATGCTGCAAATGGAACTGAATGTTGTGAAATCAGCAAGCTGCCTTTATGATGGAAGGAAGGTCACTGAAGTAGCTAGCTGAAGATAATTCACTGAAACCTCCCCTCACTTTTACTGTTGACTGTGAGTAGACAATAATTGGCTAGCTTAGATTTGTCCTGCTTTTTGCAGGCAGGACGTACCTGGGCAATTTTGCTCATTTTGCCAGGTACATGCAAGTATTGTAGATGTACTGGAACAGTTTGTTTAGGGGTACAGCTAGTGCTGGAGCACACGTCTTCAGAACTAGTTGTCAGGCAGTATCCAGCACCTGCAGCCAATTGCTGAAATCATGTGAAGTGAATCAAATTGGCAGGTGAGTGGCATCTGTTTTTGCTGGACGATGCTGAGATGGATTGACCACTTCGACAATTTTGGCTGAAGCTAGTTCCAAACATTTGAGCTTTATTTTTCACACCGCTGCATTTGGTTCTCCCATCATTCGCAATGGGGATATGTGTGCCGCCTCCTCCTCTGGTCAGTTATTTAATTGTCCACCAGCGTTCACGATTGGATGTGGCAGGACTGCACAGCTCGAATCTGCCTGGTCCATTGATTGGTGATCACTTTGCTGTCTACAACTCGCTGTTCTGCATGTAGTCCTGCTTTATAGCTTCACTGGTTGACATTTCATTTTTAATTATGCCTGGTGCTGCTCCTGGCATGCTCTCCCCACATTCCTCGTTGAGCCAGGGTGGGATCCCTTGGCCTGACTATAAAATGGTAGTGTTGGGGATATGCCATGCCACGAGTTTACAGACTGTGACTGAGTAAAATTCTACTGCTGCTGCCAACCCCACAGCACCTTGAGGTGCCAGATCTGCTCTGAATCCATCCTGGATAGCAACAGTCCTAGTGACCAGAGATAGTAGGAACTGCAGATGCTGGAGAATCTGAGATAATAAGGTGTAGAGCTGGATGAACACAGCAGGCCAAGCAGCATCAGA